AACTTTATTAGTTTACACGTGTATGATTTCATGTGGTCATAAGCACATGTTGGGCCTTTCTAATGTTTATCCTTCGGTGGTTCTAAATTGGTGGGTCGTAGAGGATCCGTGAGCTCTAAAACTTTTGAGTTAGGGCTCTTTCTGGAGGAGGATCACTTTGAAAGGAAGCGAGAGTGCTTCTGGTCAGCGGCTCATCCTTGCCTCAGGGTTTGGCGCACTTCCAAACACGGTGTCTCACGTGGCCAGCTCCCCCCCACCCCCCCAACACTGCCCACGGGAGAGAGCCTCTTGGCAGCGGACGTTGACTCTGGTGCACCGAGGGCTCCGACTTGGAAGGCTTCGGCGCTGACCCTCCCTGACCACGGCGGCGGGGCTCCTCCCCTCTGTGGCCTGAACTCCCGTGGGGCACCTGCTCCCTCGTGACTGGGACAGCGGAAAGCTCACTGTGCAGCCTCTGAGGGGTCACAAGGGCCAGATCTTCTTCCCGTGGGACCAGGGCCTGACGGGAGGACGGAAGCTGGCTGCCTGCTGCTTCTGAGACCTCGTATTTGGTGGCACGTTTCTATAGGTTATGGTGTTTGATCTTAGCAGCATGTGAAGTCTAATGCATGGGAAAGTGATACCATCATGGAATTGTGAGCCTGATAAGGTAAAAGGAAATAGGTTTTTTTGGTGATTATTTAAATGCCAGATTTGTTTTAGACTGGTTTAGAGAAACGTTTTTTTTAAAGTTCCCTGATTATATAACTTCCCATGGGTTTTGTGATGTTGCTGTCATTTCTTTTTTTTTTTTTTTTTAATTTTTTTTTTTTAATGTTTTTATTTATTTCTAGGGGAGAGAGAGAGAGAGACAGCGTGAGCAGGGGAGGGTCAGAGAGAGAGGGAGTCACAGACTGAAACAGGCTCCAGGCTCTGAGCTGGCAGTCAGCACAGAGCCCGACGCGGGGCTTGAACCCACGAACCGCGAGATCATGACCTGAGCGAAAGTCAGACGCTTAACCGACTAAGCCACCCGGGCGCCCCAATTTCTTTAAAGTTCTGTTAATGTCATCAATGTGAAAATTTTGAATTGCTGCAGGATGGAGAAAATTGTGTGATGAAATATTTTGAAATAGAAAAAGGGCTTTACTGAATAAATAATCACCTATGTTCTCACCACCCAAATATAAGTGGAAGACTTTAGAATTAAGGTCTTTTGGAATCAGGCATAATTTTTGCTATTGTACCTGAGCCAATCTAAAACAATTGGACTGGGTAAAATTAGACCTTTTCCCGTGAGGCGCCCGTATCAATGCTGTCCCCTCACCACGCTGCAGGGCCGGCCTGTCCCCAGGTCCCGTCGAGGGACAGTCTGCCCAGCCAGGTGGTGTGCTGAGTCCCTCCAGTCCCTGCACATATCCAGCACTGTGGGCCGAGGGTGGCAGTGTCATTTTCCAGAGGGGAGAGAGGCGCGTGTCACGTGACTCAGCCTTGACCTAGACTTCCCCATGCTCTTTGATTTTGCCCTGCTTCCTTCCTGAAACATCCAAGGGGCTGTTACCCTGTGTTTATGTTTTTAAAGATCTTTCAGCAAGGGTGGCTTGTGTCCTGTGATCATTTACTCAGAGATTTTGTAGTTAGGATAGAAATGTATGCAACGTCTGAGCTTTTGGATGTAGACTTGAAAGTGCAAATCACCTTAGTTCTTCCTGCTGCACCTGAATTAAGACTTCTAGAGCCAGTTAGGTAGCTTCCTTTGTAAGTGAGGACTCAGATCTAGCAGAGTTCTGGATGAAATTAAGGGTAATCAAGAAATAAATTTGGAAAGTTTGAATGGAATCCATCTCTAGTAAGCAAGGGTTTTTTAGTGTCTAAGGATGATATAAATGTAAAATGCAACAAAACAATCGGAAACATGTACCCACAGTTATGCGCCCCCCTCTCACCCCATAAACTTGAGATGTGGGGCTGTTGCCTCCTGGCCCGCTGCGTGGCCCCTCCTCTCTGCACTGCTCCCTCCCCGCGTCTCCGGGGCTCTGGGGCTGTTCTTTTTAAAAAACAAAACAAAACTATCTTTTTAAGTTTATTTATTTTGAGAGAGAGAGAGAGAAAGAGAGGGAGGACCTGTGTGCACGCGAGTGGGGGAGGGGTTAGAGAGGAGAGAGAGCGGGGGAGGGGCAGAGAGATTGGGAGAGGACAGAATCCTCAGCAGGCCCCATAATGCCAGTGCAGAGCCCCGCCTGGGCTCCATCCCACAAACCTCGGGATCGTGACCTGAGCTGAGATCAAGAGCCAGAGGCTTAAGCAGCTGAGCCCCCCAGGCGCCCGTGTTGAGCAGTGCTTAAACTGCGGATGTCCCCACGGGGCCCCCCAGCGCACCAGAGTCCGGGTCTGTCTTCCCTGGCCTGCTCTGCGCCCAGGTTCCCGTCTCCATGAGTGGGGCTGCCGCGGGCCACCTGAGTCCTCGTGGTCCCCTGGGTAGATTGTGGGTTCCTTGCAAAGACGGCTCCCCTGGTTCCTGTCATGAAGTCCGCACTGTTAAGGGGGAGACTTGACCGAAGTTGAACAAGTTGCCTTGTGAGGTTCATTTGTCGCCAGAGAATTGGCCTCTTTCTTCCCATTCTGCTACCTTCGTTCTGGCCCCCGACGGGTCTCACCGCTGGCCGCCCCCTTGCCCCAGCCCTTCCTGCCCCCACGGTACCTCCACTGCCCCAGGGCCTAGGTGGCCCTCAGCAGGGAGCAGTTCCCAAGAGGTCTATGTGGGCAGGGCCTTGTGTGTGATCCTGGTGTGTGGGCAGCTCCCTCAGGGAGTCCAGCTTGTGTCCAGGGTTTCAGCTGAGGGGTTCTTTTTTTTTTTTTTTTTAATTTTAAATATGTGTTTTTAAAGTTTATTTTTTTCTTTTTAATTTCTGAGAGAGAGAGAGAGAGTATGAGCAGGGGAGGGTCAGAGAGAGAGGGAGATACAGAATCTGAAACAGGCTCCAGGCTCTGAGCTGTCAGCACAGAGCCCGACGTAGGGCTCGAACCCACAAACCGTGAGATCATGACCTGAGCCGAAGTTGGACGCTTAACGGACTGAGCCACCCAGGCGCCCCTAAAGTTTATTTTTGAAAGAAGGAGAGAACGAGCAAAGGAGGGGCAAAGAGAGAGACAGAGAGAGACACACACAGAATCCAAAGCAGGCACCAGGCTCTGAGCTGTCAGCATAGAGCCTGATGCAAGTCTCAAACCCACAAACTGTGAGACCATGGCCTGAGCTGAAGTCGGACGCTTAACTGATTGAGTCACCCAGGTGCCCCCTGTTTTTTAAATATAGTATCCCTAAAATAAAATGTGGTAGTAAAGTTAGACAAAGTGAGTAGTGGAATTTTTGCAAAACTGTTGTTTGTTGAAACAAGCAATTGTGCACTGGCAACCAAAATACCTACCTCCTTGCCTGTTCTTTTCCATATGCAAACTCAGTGACCCAGAGTAGGGTTGTTTAGATTCCAAGAATTACTTGGCATTAACAAACCTTTTAATTGAGGAATTTGTTATGGCTTGCTTATTTTTCATGAATTTTATTTAATTCTTCAGCTTTAGAACCACTTTGAGTACCTGAACATAATGTTCATTTCAGGTTCAGAGCAACTGATTTTCTTGGCAATGTTGTTGTTGTTGTTGTTGTTTTTTCAAATGTTTAATTCATTTTTGAGAGAGAAAGAGACAGAGCATGAGCAGGGGAGGGGCAGAGAGAGAGGGAGACACAGAACCTGAAGCAGGCACCAGGCTCTGAGCTGTCAGCACAGAGCCCGACACAGGGCTCAATCTCATGAACTGTGAGATCACGACCTGAGCCGAAGTTGGATGCTTAACCAACTGAGCCACCCAGGCACCCCTTCATGGCGATGTTTAAGCTATTTTGAACATAACATTTTTGTGTTTGTTTGTTTGTTTTAAGTAGGGTTGATGCCCAGAGTGGAGCCCATTGTGGTACTTGAACTCACAACCATGATATCAAGAACTGAACTGAGATCAAGAATTGGACACTTAACCAACTTAGCCACCCAGGCACCCCATCATTTTTGTTTTATATCCCTCTTGATACTTTGACTAAATATTAGTGCCTTGTTCTCAAAACAATATCAGTGTTTGGGCTAAGGTTAAGGTATATAATGTATTATCCTATTGAGAAGAAAAAAAAATAAGAGCAGTTAAAAAATAATTAAGCACAGGGGCACCTGTGTGGTTCAGTTGGTTCAGTGTCTGGCTCTTGATTTTGACTCAGGTCATGATCTCACAGTTGTGAGATTGAGCCCTGGTTGTGAGATAGAGCCCGAGCAGTGCTCTGCATCGGGCATGGAGCCTACTTAAGATTCATTCTCTCTCTCTCTCTCTCTCTCTCTCTCTCCCTTCCTCCCTCCCTCTCTCTCCCTCTTTCTCCCCCTCTACCCCTCCCCAACTTACACATGCACTCAATCTCTCTCTCTCTAAAATAAAATCAAATCTCAGTGTGTGTCTTTAAAAAAATAATTAGGAATATATAATTGTAACTTGTAAAAGTGTAAAAAGGTAGCAAAATGGCAAAGAATTTTAAAAAATGTAATTTAGTACATGCCTGTGGTGTATTTTACATACATGCAACTTGTCCCGAACACACTGGGGGGGGGTCAGGCCTGTACAGGGATGGAGTGGGGTCTCTTTCTTGCCCCTCTTTTCCTTTGCTGTGACTGCGGCTGCTCAGTTCCCCAGGGAATGCTGCTTCCATGCATCATTCCCTTTGCAGGGGAGCAGAGACATCTCCGGGGCCATTTGCCTCACACACCGTTATCAGTTCTCCAGCTACCTTTCGCTCTGTGTAGGAATTATAAATATTCATGATAACCCAGTCTAGATTAGTAAACAAACCAGTGGTTTAAAAAAACACTGCAAATACTATTATTGACTTTTATTTTATCAGGTGAAAACAGCAGGCTCAGAAAAGCACTTTCTGAATTGTAATGAATATATTTGTTCGTTTCTTATCCCCTTTCTCCATCCAGAAAAGGATTATAACAGCCTTTGTGACAAGCAGCCAATAGGAAGACTTCTCTTCAGGCAGTTCTGTGATACAAGAAATGATCTAAAGATCTACATCAAGTTCCTAGATGCAGTGGTGAGCAATGTGTCTCAGTGGTGAAACACCCAGTCTTGTGCTTTTGGAAATTAAGAGGCTAGATCTAAAAACTTAGATCTCTCTAAGTAGACCTTGGCAATGATGGTAAGAGGGGATAAATTAGCTTCTCAGTGTCATGTTACCTTGGTATGGAAGTCCCTATATGATATTCCCCCTTATCCGCAGTTTTACCTTCCGTGGCTTCAGTTGCCTGTGGTCAACTGGAGTCTGGAAGCAGGTGATCCTCCTTCTAACATATGGTCAATGCAGGCACACTCGGAGATATTGTGGATCAGGTCCAGCTCCAGACTGTGGCAGTGAAGCGAGGGTCACAGACTGTGAGTCTGGAGTTCTCTCTTGTCCAGGAAGAGAGCGGATGCAGAATTGGATATGAGAGAGGCTAATGTCAGAGAGGAGACAAGGGCCTTGAGTAAGGGTCCTTGCCCCGTGTTTATTAGGGTCAGAAGGCTCAATACATGGCGGATGTGCAGAAAGAGACAAACGGTGACCATTAACTCGTGTGTGTGAGAGAAACGGGGTCTCAAAGGTATGCGGTGTTAGGGGTTTGGGTTAATACAAATCAAAGTCCTAGCACCGAGCAGACGGCTGTTTACTGCAGGCACCAGGCACCGTGTCTCTTTATCTTAAGTTTTCTAGGGGCAGTGTCAGACGAAATGTGCTACCTCAGGGCTAACAAGGCATTGTTCTTGCTAGTTAGCTCTGGACTTTTCTCCCTGCTGCGGGGGCTTTTAACTTGGAACTGTTCTCGGACACTTTTCATCCTGTGGAGCGTCTTTCTGCTCCATGCTTCGTTCTACACTGGGGGCACTTTCGCCCTGTGATGGCTTTCCACCCTAAGCCTTGTTAACCCATTGGTGCATGCTCAGGGAATTCTTAAACTTATGCCCCACAAGCGAATATCACAATGAAGCGAGTCAAATGAATTCATTTTGTTTCCCATTGCATATAAAAGTTATGTCTAGGGACACCTGGGTGGCTCAGGTCATGATATCATGGTTGGCGGGTTCAAGCCTTGCATTGGGCTTTCTGCTGTCAGCAGAGCCTGGAGCTGCTTCAGATCTTCTGTCACTCTCTCTCTGCCCCTTCTCTGCTCACTCTGTCTCTCTCAAAACAATAAATAAACATTAAAAAAGGTTACCTCTATACTATACTGTAGTCTATTAACCGTACAATAACATTATGTCTAAAAAAACAATGTACATACCTTAATTAAAAAAATAGTCTGTTGCTAAAAATGCGAACTATCATCTGACCTTTCAGCAAGTTGTCATCTTTTTTCTGGCGGAGGGTCTTGCTTTGATGTCCATGGCTCCTGACTGACCGTGGTGGGGGCTGCTGACGTGGGGGTCTGTGGCAGTGTCTTACCATAAGACAACATAGAAGTCTGCCACGTCGATTGACCCTTCTTTTGCTTGAACACTTACTTAGAAGCCATTGTAGTGTTATTAATTGGCCTAATTTCAATATCGTCATGTCCCAGGGAATAGGGAGGCCCCAGGAGGGGGGAGGGGAATGGCTGGTCAGCGGAGCAGTGAGAACGCGCACCACATTTATGTGAGTGCGGTTCGTGTCGTCCCAAACCAGTCACTGGCCAAAGATCACCAAAACAAACATAATGATGATGAAAAAGTTTGAAATACAGCAGGAACTTCCAAATCGTGCCAGAGACATGACATGAGCAAGTGCCGTTGGGAAAATGACACCAATAGACCTGCTCATTGCAGGGTCGTTATAAACCTTCAATTAAAAAAGAATGTGTTATTTGTGAAGCGCAATAAAGCAAAGCATGGTAGAATGGAGTGCGCCTGAGTCCTTTCAGGAAACCCCGTGAGACTCTTCCCTTTTCTCCCTGGGGCTCCAGCAGCCCTTTCCTTCCTGTCCCTTTGCTAGAATAAGACAGCGCTTTGAAAGGAGGTGATTTTCTTCCAGCTAGAACTTGGTGTAGTGGGGCACGGCTCCCCGACTCCGGGAGGAGAGCGTAGCTATGTCTTCATGCATTGGCTTATATTTGCCAAGCTGCTATAATCTAAGAATTCAGGGACCTACGCTTCTTGTTTATTTCAAAATGGCTGAGCTGCCTTGCTGACGCCGGTTCAGGTTTGGACCTCCGGGTGGTGCTAGGAGGCTGTTGTTGTTGGGGGGCCAGCAGGTGACCGGGACAGTTCTGCCCTGCTCTGGTTTCCTCACTAATCTCTTTGGCCCCATCTAGTCAGCCTCACCGCTCTGCAAGGCCCCAGCGTGCAGAGCCCAGTGGCTGTGCGGAGGCCTCCCCGGGCCCCAGTCTCCAGGTCATTGACTGTTGAGTGGCTTCTTCTTGAAATTCTTATCCAGGCTTTTATGATTTCTGCTCTGTTTTTCTCCCTTCTCTTTCTTTTCAGTTTCTTCCTTGCTTATCCTTTGTGGATGCTTAGATCTTGATCAGGTTCTGCCTTGACCCTTCCTCTGTTTTCTGGCCTGTGTGGTAGTATCCTCGCTAGGGTCCCTCGTCTGACATCTGTGAAGCTATGTGACTTCTCTGGGAGGTCTGTACTCAGGTGTTTCTGCAGTACCTCTTGGACATTTCTAAACTGCTATTGCCTAGAACAACCAAAGCTCTTTATTTGATGCTATTTTACTCGGCCACATGTAAGGGCGGAAAGTGTGATATGACAGGGTATTATGGGATGTGTTGCTCTACTGCATATTCACCCTTTAGAGAAAACTGTTGCCATTAGTTTCCCAAAGAAGAGCTGCAGGTACTTGGTCAATATCAAACCAATTAGAACTTCTCTGTGGTTCATAGGGTAACAAGTCAGAGAATTTGAAACTTCATGAAGCTGGGGAAGTTTAACTACACTTTTTCTTTGTTCTCATCTCTACCATCAGGCAGAATATGAGGTGGCCGATGACGAGGACCGCAGAAGTTGTGGACAGTCCATCTTAGGCACATTCTTCAGTGCCGCCGAGGTGCGCCTGCTTCTGTAGATGTGCAGAGTTGTGAATACTTACCGAGATAATTAGACCACATAGCCATGTGTACTTAGCTGGGTAAGATATAATCAGTACGTCAAGACCTTTAATTTCTTATAAATACTCTTCTTAAGCATTTTCTTTTGTGTCAGTAAGAAAATTAACAAATCTCTTAGAAAGTTGATTCAACCAATTTAAAAGTTTCTGTTTCCTCAAACAGAATACAGAATTAGAGAATTTCATTTGTCTGTCTTGAACTGAAAATAACATTTTTCTCCTAAAAGCTTTAATGGACCTTCGTTTTTATGCTTTTTGGTTTAGTAGATTTAGTAGTGCAATTACTAGATTGTAGGGTAGTTTTATTTTTAACTTTTTGGGGAAACTTCATATTGTTTTCCAGAGCGGCTGCACCAATTTGCATTCCCACCACCAGTGCAAGAGGGTTCCTCTTTCTCTGCGTCCTCACCAACATCTGTTGTTTCCTGAATTGTTAATGTTAGCCATTCTGACAGGTGTGAGGTGGTATCTCATTGTGGTTTTGATTTGTATTTCCCTGATGATGAGTGATGTTGAGCATCTTTTCATGTATCTGTTGGCCATCTGGATGTCTTCTTTGGTAAAGTGTCTATTCATGTCTCCTGCCCGTTTCTCCACTGGATTATTTGTTTTTTGGGTGTTGCGCTTGGTAAGTTCTTTATAGATTTTGGATACTAATCCTTTACCTGATTTGTCATTTGCAAATATCCCCTCCCATTCCGTTGGTTGCCTTTTAGTTTTGGTGATTGTTTCCTTTGTTGTACAGAAGCTTTTTATCTTGACGAGGTCCCAATAGTTCATTTTTGCTTTTATTTCCTTTGCCCCTGGAGATGTGTCAAGTAAGAAGCTGCTGTGGCCGAGGTCAAAGAGCTTGCTGCCTGTTTTCTCCTGTAGGATTTTGATTGGTTTCCTGTCTCATGCTTAGGTCTTTCATCCATTTGTGTGTATGGTATAAGACAGTGGTCCAGGTTTATTCTCCTGCATGTCACTGTCCAGTTCTCCCAGCACCATTTGCTGAAGACGCTGCCTTTTTTCCACTGGATACTCTTTCCTGCTTTGTCAAAGAGTGTTGGCCATATATATGTGGGTCCATTTCTGGGTTCTCTATTCTATTCCATCGATCTATGTGTCTGTTTTTGTGTCAATACCATACTGTCTTGATGATTACAGCTTTGTAATGCATCTTGAAGTCTGGAATTGTGATGCCTCCAGCTTTGGTTTTCTTTTTCAACATTACTTTGGGTATTCGGAGTCTTTTGTGGTTCCACACTAATTTTAGGATTGTTCTAACTCTGTGAAGAATGCTGGTGTTATTTTGACAGGGATTGCATCAAATGTGTAGATTGTTTTGGGTAGTATCAACATTTTAAACAATACTTGTTCTTCCAATCCAGGAGCATAGAATGTTTTTTTATTTCTTTGTGTGTCTTCTTCAGTTTCTTTCATAAGCTTCCTATAGTTTTCAGCATACAGATCTTTAACATCTTTGGTTAGGTTTATTCCTAGGTATCTTGTGGTTTTTGGTGTAAGTGTAAATGGGATTGATTCCTTGATTTCTCTTACTGCTGCTTCATTATTGGCGTGTAGAAATGCAACCGATTTCTGTACATTGATTTTGTATCCTACAGCTTTGTTGAATTCATGGATCAGCTCTAGCAGGTCTATGTAGAGTATCAGGTTATCTTCGAAGAGTGAAAGTTTGACTTCTTCCTTGCCTATTTGGATGCCTTTTATTTCTTTGTGTTGTCTGATTGCTGAGGATAGGACTTCCAGCACTAAGTTGAATAACAGCAGTGAGAGTAGACATCCGTGCCGTGTTTCTGATCTCAGGGTGAAAGCTCTCAGTTTTTCCTCATTGAGGATGGTATTAGCAGTGGGTCTTTCATATATGGATTTAATGATGTATTATTATTGATTAGATCTTTTCTGTTTGTTACGAACTGTTTTCTGTGTTTGGGTTGGGTGCATAAATATTTACAATTGCTATATCATCTTGTTGGTGTGCCCTCTTTATTTTTATATAGTGTCCTTTTCCCCCTTTTTACAGTCTTTGTTTTAAAATCTGTTTTGTCCGATATAAGTTTTGCTCCTCAGGCTTTCTTTTGACCTCCATTTGTCTGATAGATATTTTTCTTTTTCCTCACTTTCAATCCACTAGTGTCTTTACATCTAAAATGAGTCCCTTGTAGGCAGCATATAGATGGGCCTTTTTTTAAAAAAATCGATTTTGTCACCCTAGGTCTTTTGATTGGAACGTTTAGTCCATTTACACTCAAAGTAATTATTGGTAGATATGTATTTATTGCCATTTTATTACTTGTTTTGTGGTTGTTTCTGAAGCTTTTCTCTGATCCTTTCTTGTCTTTCTCTCTTTTATAGTTTGCTGGTTGTTTTTAGTGATATATTTGCATTTTTTTCCTCTTTACTCATTTTTTTGTGGTTTTCGATTTGTGGTTATGAAGTCCAATGAGCATCCTTATGATCACTGCTTTAAATACTCCATCAGGCACGCTGCTCGTATCTGTTTTGCTGGGCCCTCCGGCTCGGGCCTTGTTCTGTCTCCTCGTTTTGTCTATGTCTCTGTGCCCGTTCCTGCTGTTGCTGAGGGTGACGGCCGTCTGAAGAAGAGGTTCTAGAGTGCCCCGCAGCGCGGTGACCCCGTCCCCAGGCCCTGGTGCCCTGGGAGTGTCTCCGGTGTGTGCCACGTGCTCACTGCTCTTGTGTCTCCGGCGCCTCATCCTTCAGGCCAGTTGTGTGCAGTGTTTGGTACCTCTAGGGGTGCCCTGGTGTGCCTGAGAAATGTGACCTGTTGCTGCCTCCGCGAGAACTGAGGTTCCGGAAAACTCCCGGGTTGGGAGACCCAGGGTTGGCAGGGGCTTGGGCCGGTCTTCTGGGGGAGGGGGCCTGGCCCGCTGGGACGAGGCACACATGGCTGGGGAGGGTGGTGCTTTTGGAAAGCACAGCGGGGGGCTTGGTGTAAGCGGTGTAAGTGGTGAGGGCCGGTGGCGCTGTTCCCCGCAGGCGTAGCCGCGCTTACGGGGGGCAGGGGAGGGAGATGGCACCTGCTAGTTCCTTTGCTCCCAGGGGGCTCCCTCCGTGAGCACGGCCGCTCCGAGACTTGCTCCCAGGTGAGCAGCTAACCTCCCCCCCGGGCGCCCCGGGCTCGCTTCGGCCACTGTCTCCGCGTGCGAGTCCGGGCTGCGTGCCTGCCTTCTCTCGGGAGCCGCCCCAGCCTCCCCTGGGCCATCCCAGAGCGGCGCGCTGGCCTCCCGGGCTCCCGGCTTCACGCCCCGCTGGTGGCAAGAACTGTCACTTTCCAAGCCAGTCGCTGTGGGGCTTCGATTTCCCAGCGTGCTGCGCTGTGTCTGCCCCGCGTGCTCCCGTGTATGTTGCCCCGTGTGCTCCCCTGCGTGCTCCTCTGTTTGCTCCCCTGCGTGCTGCCCCGCGGGCTCCCCCGCGGGCTCCCCTACGTGCTCCCCCATGTGCTCCCCCGCGTGCTCCCGCGCGTGCTGCCCGGCGTGCTCCCCCGCGGGCTCCCCCGTTTGCTCCCCCGCGTGCTCCCCGCGTGCTCCCCCCCATGCTCCCCCGCGTGCTCCCCCGCGTGCTCCCCGCGTGCTCCCCCGCGTGCTGCTCCGGGTGCTCCCCGCGTGCTCCCCCGCGTGCTGCCCGGGGTGCTCCCCGCGTGCTCCCCCGCGTGCTCCCCCGCGTGCTCCCCCCCATGCTCCCCCGCGTGCTCCCCCGCGTGCTGCCCGGGGTGCTCCCCGCGTGCTCCCCCGCGTGCTCCCCGCGTGCTCCCCCGCGTGCTGCCCCGGGTGCTCCCCGCGTGCTCCCCCGCGTGCTCCCTGCGTGCTCCCCCGCGTGCTGCCCCGGGTGCTCCCCGCGTGCTCCCCCGCGTGCTCCCTGCGTGCTCCCCCGCGTGCTGCCCCGGGTGCTCCCCGCGTGCTCCCCCGCGTGCTCCCTGCGTGCTCCCCCGCGTGCTGCCCCGGGTGCTCCCCGCGTGCTCCCCCGCGTGCTCCCTGCGTGCTCCCCCGCGTGCTGCCCCGGGTGCTCCCCGCGTGCTCCCCCGCGTGCTCCCTGCGTGCTCCCCCGCGTGCTGCCCCGGGTGCTCCCCGCGTGCTCCCCCGCGTGCTCCCTGCGTGCTCCCCCGCGTGCTGCCCCGGGTGCTCCCCGCGTGCTCCCCCGCGTGCTCCCTGCGTGCTCCCCCGCGTGCTGCCCCGGGTGCTCCCCGCGTGCTCCCCCGCGTGCTCCCTGCGTGCTCCCCCGCGTGCTGCCCCGGGTGCTCCCCGCGTGCTCCCCCGCGTGCTCCCTGCGTGCTCCCCCGCGTGCTGCCCCGGGTGCTCCCCGCGTGCTCCCCCGCGTGCTCCCTGCGTGCTCCCCCGCGTGCTGCCCCGGGTGCTCCCCGCGTGCTCCCCCGCGTGCTCCCTGCGTGCTCCCCCGCGTGCTGCCCCGGGTGCTCCCCGCGTGCTCCCCCGCGTGCTCCCTGCGTGCTCCCCCGCGTGCTGCCCCGGGTGCTCCCCGCGTGCTCCCCCGCGTGCTCCCTGCGTGCTCCCCCGCGTGCTGCCCCGGGTGCTCCCCGCGTGCTCCCCCGCGTGCTCCCTGCGTGCTCCCCCGCGTGCTGCCCCGGGTGCTCCCCGCGTGCTCCCCCGCGTGCTCCCCCGCGTGCTCCCCGCGTGCTGGTCGGCCTCTCCTCCTCCACGATGCCCTCCCCACCACCACTGCCAGGATCTGTTTCTCCCCCAAGCGGCACCTCCACGTTTCTATCTTCTTCCATGTGGCCCCTTCTGTAGTTGTGGAATTTGTTCTGCAGATTCCAGTCTCTAATCGATTTCCGGGGCGTTCGGGGTGACTCGGCAGTTACGTCGTTGCCCGTGGGCCGCGGCAAGCCCAGGGCCCTCCTGTTCTTCCCCCAGCTTTCCCTCCTGCCTCTCAGGTTCTTCTTCCGTTGTATTAACTCGTTTTTCCTTTACCTTTCCTGAGGGAATACATAGCGAGGGAGGTTGTCAAGTAGAAAGGCTTTATGTATTTAGTTTTAAAATATTTTATTTTTTGAGAGAGAGGGCTCAAGTGAGTGAGGGGCAGAGAGAGAGAGAGAGAGAAGCAGGGCTCACACTCACAGATCATGACCTGAGCTGAAGTCGGGTGCTTAACTGACTGAGCCCCCAGATGCTCTGAAGATTTTATTTTTAAGCTATCTCTACACCCAGCATGGGGCTCAAATCTACAACCCCGAGGTCAGGACTCACATTCTCTATTGACTGAGCCAGCCAGGTGCACCAAAAGACATAATTTAAAAGGAATCATGACAGATGTAGGAGGGGAGGGGAGGGGTGGGGAGGGGAAGGGAGGGGTGAGGAGGGGCGGGGCACACGTGTGTCTATGGCCCAGTGAGGGGTGTTTATGGGCCTGAAGATGGTGTAACCTGGGAGCTTTTTTTTCCTTAACACCAACTGAGGAAACTATTGTTGTGCTTTATGTACAAGTAACAACGGGTCACATCCTCATCGTTGTTTCCCTTTCTCTTGTCTTTTCTTTAAAAACAATAAGCTTCTTTTTCTGCATCTTGAAAAGGGAACTCCTTTATTCAGATTCCAACAATGTAGACTCTAAAGATCTAAGAGTAAGGCGAGACTGTATATTCACTCTTGCCTTTCTTTATCCTTTTACTCAGTCAATTTTAGTTTTCCTTAGTTTTCAGTTTTCCCAAATAGTGAAATCCAGTCATTTGATTCACAGTTTAAAAAAATCATGACCAAAGCCCAGTGAGTTTTATTCTAGGAATGCGAAGTGTATTCAACCTCTGATAATCAATTACCTTATAACAGAGCATATTAATAAAGGACAAAACCTGCCACATGACCATCTTAGTGGAGGCAGAAAAACCATTTGGCAAACTCCAAAGGCTCCTTCCTCAACAAATGAGGAGGGAAGGGAAGTCACTCAACCTGATAAAGGTCATACACAAAGCACGGCTAACGTCATATTTAAATGTGGAAGGTTGGATGTTGTGAATAATGCTGTGAACACGGTGAGATGCCTCTTGGCTACCTTGCTTTTCCTTCTGGTTGATCTGCGGAGGGAAAGATCTAAAAGGCAGACGACAAAGTGAACTTGGAAAATGGGACTGGAGTGGAGGGTGAAGGTGGCATCTTGGCTTGTTATTTCACACTTGATGTTATGATTTTTTTTTTTACAGTGAGCATCAGGTTCTGTTTACAGTTGGTAAATTATGAAATCACTAATTGTTATGCATTTGCTCTTTCCTGTATTAAGAAGTCGGCAGCCCCTTTACCAGAAGTACCTTCACGTGTTCTGAGAGAATGTAGGCTGAGACTGAAGGAGAGCCCCTCCAAGGACATCTTTGAGGAGTGCACCAGGTGAGCGCCAGTCCAGGCCGCACAGACGGACACGGGGGCTCCCAGGGAACTTCTCTGCAGGAGACAGGCTCCTATTGGGGTACTTTCCAAACTAAATGGTCACTTCCACTGGATAGAGGGAAACGCAGGGTGATAATCACACGATGTGAGTGACACACTGCGATGTGTCACATCATGGAGAGCCGGTGTGTGCAAATGCTTTTGTGGGCCCCTGACCCCTCTGCCCAGCCTTCCAAAATGCTTGTGTCTGGCGTGAAAAGATTGCCATGACATGCCGTTTTTTTACAGACCTCAGCACTCGCTCCAAATATCTTTTCTCCAGATGTTTGTGGAGAAATGTGGACTGGAAGATTCTAAGTCAGAGCACTTTGAGTAAATCCGGCTTCCTTCCATACACAGGAAGAAAGAATGGTTTCTGGAATGATCTGGCCCAAGACACATGGTCCTCTGTGCACTTAGGCAACATGCGGATATCACTTACCTTTCATTCCGCAGGCACTTGTTGAGTGCCCACTGTCAGGGACTGTCGTTTTCCCAAGGCCACCGCAACAAAGCCCCACCGACTCGGGGCTCCGAGCAACCGGTCTGGAAGCTGCGGGTCAGCAGGGTCATATTCTCTGCAGACTCGAGGGGAGGTCCTTCCCCGCCGCTTCTTGTTCCTGGCGGTGGCCAGTAGTCCCGGCGTTTCTGGGCATGTGCCTGCGGCGTGTCAGTCCCTGCCGTCACGGGCCCCTCCTCCCTGGTGTTCTTGTCCCTGTGTTTCTTCCTCCTCTAATAAAGACACCAGTCATATCGGAGGGGACCCACCCGACTCCAGGGTGACCGCATCCTGACCAATTATATCTGCAATGACCCTATTTCCAGGTAAGATCAATGTATCGGCACAGGGTTAGGACGTCAGCACAGTTTTGAGAGACGCCTTTCAAGTCCTCATAGTTTGCTACTTTGGGTTGAGGATGCGGTAGGGGACAAAACAGAATAAAACGCTGCTGACTGGAGTTTACATTCCTACATGCCTTAAGGAAATATCAACTGCAGAGCCTTCACTTATTATTTATTTTTTGGAAGACATTTATTAAGCACCTGTTGTGTGCCTGTCATTGATCTAGTTTCCAGGGATAAAATGATGAGCACGAATGAGCTGGTTCTTTACTCCCAGAGGGCTTATGACCACGTAGAGTAACCGAGAAGTTTGTATTAGTTTCCTGTTGCTGCTGTAACAAATTGCCACAGGCTTATGGCCTAAAGCAGCACACATGCAGTCTGAAAGCTGTGTCGCTGGGCAGAAATCAAGGTGTCAGCAGGGCCTTGATCCATTTGAGGACCTAGGGGAGAATCCATTTTCTTGTTTTTTCCAGCTTCTGGGAGTGCGTTTCTTGGCCTGTGGCCCCTTACTGCACCATCAAACCCGCAGCACGGCACCCTCAAATTTCTCCCTGCCTCCTTTCCTTACTCTGTGTGTCCAAGTCTCCCTCAGTCTCCCTGTAGCAAGGACATGTGTGATGGCATTTAGGGCCACCCAGATCGTCCAGGGTCATTTCCCACCTCAGCCCCCTTCACTCAGTGACATTTGCGAATTCCCCGTTGCCTGTAGGGTGACAGCCTCAGGTTCCAGGGATTAGGACTTGGATGCATTTCTGGCATTGTTGAGTCCCCCACAGGTGCGGGCCAGGCTGCCAGGGCGCCTCTCCTAGTCTGGGACCAAGAGAAGAGTGTCCATAAAGTCTGTTCCTAAAGTCTGAGGGGGAAGCTGAGGTCGCTGGGCTGGGTCGGGGACACGACGAAATGAGGAGGTGATCTTCGTAGCCTCCAGACAAGTGACCAGGTCTGAGGTCGTGTGCAGCAGCCGTTCTGACCCTCCCCATCGCCTGGCGCCACGACACCTCTAAACGCTTTTGTATATGTGACCTCTGTTTTAAAAAATAAAGACACAAGCATTTTCCTAGCCATCAGAGCAACAATGTCACATGTCTTATGCTTCTGGAAAACCCTCTGTGAAAATGAGGTGTTTTCTTAAATGTTTATTTATTTATTTTGAGAGAGAGAGAGAGAGAACCAGTGGGGGAGGGGCAGAGAGCAAAGGGGACAAAGGATCCAAAGCAGGCTCTGTGCTGACAGCAGTGAGCTCGATGTGGGGCTCGAACTCACATGAGATCATGACCTGAGCCAAAGTCGACGCTTAACCGGCTGAGCTCCCCAGGAACCCCTGAAAATGAAGTCTTTAAAAGGTACATGATGTCTCAGCATTATTACAAGTATAGTTTCATTACTAACACCCTCCCCTTACTGAGAGGGTATCGGAATCCTTAGAGGCCCTCAGAACACATTTCAAGAAGCACTGTGCAATGATACTAATTAGTCCAGGAGCTTGCAAATAACCTCCTTTTACAAAATGAAGTGAAATCAAGTGGCTTGCTCAGAATTCTTTTTCCTTCCTTCCTTCCTTCCTTCCTTTTTTTCTTTCTTTCTTTCTAGAGAGTGCATGCAAGCTGGGGAGAGGGGCAGACAGAAAGAGAGACAGAGAGAGACAGAGAAAGAGAGAGAGAGAGAGAGAGAGAGAGAGAGAGAGAGAGAATCCCAAGCAGGCTCCACACTCAGCACGGAGCCCCATTTGAGGCTGGATCTCAGGACTGTGAGATCATGACCTGAGCTGAAATCAAGAGACAGACATTCAACCGACTGAGCCACCCAGGTGCCCCTGCTTGCTTAATTCTAACAATCAGTAAAAATCCTGGAATCGTTCTCGATGCCTCTTCACTTCCTGGCCTACTAGCCATTCCCCACAGAAACGATGGTCTTCTCCCATTTGGAGTCTTGTCCCTGCTGGGAGAGCCTGCCTTCTCCCTTCGTCTGGGCGACTCCTGTCTCAGCTCACACACCACCTTCACTCAGTCTGCTAACACCTCCTTCCTGGAGGGCTGTCCTGAGCGCACCGGCTCCTGTAATAACTGGCGGCTCTCGTCCTTCTGGCGCACCAACTGCCCAGTCTCCCTGGCCGGGGGGCCAGCTCTCGAGGCCTAAGCTCACATCGTCCCTCCCGCACCTAGGACACTGCGTACAGTCTACCCGTCACAGGCTTACTGACTAATGAGCTGTTTTAAATGACAGACAACATTCTGTCCTTATCGACTCTCCAAATAAGAATTTTATTACTTTGGGGCATCTGGGTGTCTCAGTCGAATGAGCGCCTGACCCTTGGTTGCAGCTCAGGTAATGTTCCAAGGGTCGTGGGATCGAGCCTCCTGCAGGGCCCCACACCGAGCGTGGAGCCTGCTCAAGATTCTCTGTCTCCTCTGCCCCCTCCCCACTTGTACTCTCTCTATCTCAGAGATTTAAAAAAAGAATTTTATTGCTTTTGTAATAAAATTATAAATAAAACTTTAGAAGCATGACTAATTGCACAAAATTTCAGGAAATGTATAGCACAAGATAGTTCATTGGATGCTTTAGTTTCAAGGTTAAAAAAAGGTGGTGGCACATATTAACATTTTCTCCCATATGACTATTGTCATTTAGATATTCATTCTAATCTTCTATACAAAATGTTTACATTCCCTGCTGAAATACACACGCTTGGGCGTATGCACACGTGTGCACTCATGCACACACATGCACACGCGCACACACACACACCTTGAGCACATATACATAAAAAGAATCTTTGGCTTTGGGAGGGTCAACAATTTCATTTCTTTTGAATTCTTGCCTTCATATTTTTACTGTAACATTAGAAACTAGTGTGGAATTCTATACTTGCAAAATTCAATATATTTCATTGTGTATAATGATTGACTTCCTGAATCCAGTGTCCAGGATGCCACTGAGCACAGCTGTTTTCCAGCTCTAATGCAACGAGTGTATAGAATTACGTAAAATCTTTTTCTAGAATTGTTCATAACTATTTAAGTGGAGGACCATTTGAAGAATACCAAGAAAGCCCCTATTTTTCTCGATTTCTGCAGTGGAAATGGCTGGAAAGGTATGTTATAATTTAGAATTCAACAAAAACAAGTAGTAACTTCTTGGAATGTGTACTGATTGCGGTATACTGTTCCATCTGTCAAAATACTACTGGAAATCTTGGGCTGTGTATGGTATTTTTGTACAGAAATTATTAATATATGTTATATAATTTCTTCTGATTTAGTTGACTCTGTTCTCTCTTTTTAAAATGGCCAGTTAGCCCTGTGGGTATAGTAGTTAGAAAATAAAACGTATCCTAGATGCACAGAAGTATAAACCAGTGCGCAGGTTCCGTCTTCTGGTCTGAGCCCTGCTCAGCTTCGTAATAGCCGTGTGGACTCAGTCAAAGGACTTGACCTTCATGAGCATCGGGTCCTTGTGTTCTGTAAAATGGAGGTAACTGAATAGAAGCTGCCCTACCAGGCTGCTGAGGCCCCCTGAAAAATGTGTATAAAACTCATATAAAAGCTCAGCAGCACTTGGTGTACAAAGTAAGAGCTCAAAAAGTGTTAGCTGCCACTGGTGTTACTGCTGTTACAGTTATATTTGACTGGTTACATTTCCAGTTCTACTTCTTTTACCTTTCTTTCCAGACGCTGAGTATAAACATCTCCTCTGAGGTTCTTTCCCCCAAGGATACTGCACTGGGGTCTATCATTTTCCCCTGCAGCTTTCTGACCCGCCCAATTCATAGATATTTCATAGTAGGGACTAGTTGCTGACCTGTCTTTAATTAGCCTAAGGCTACTTGCACTGTTCATGTCTATCCCAATTCATAGATATTTCATAGTAGGGACTAGTTGCTGACCTGTCTTTAATTAGCCTAAGGCTACTTGCACTGTTCATGTCTATCTTCAGCGTATTCGGTAAATCTTCAACGCTGACATGGACTTCTGTCTCTCAGTGCAGAGAGCTGTGTCAGGGGAGGGGACAGAGGCCCTGAACACAGGCACCCGTGCTCTAGACACTTGCTTGGAACAGTGCCATCTCATAAATAAGGCAGCGCAAGAGCTAGGTGGGCTTTTCTGTTTTAAAATAACAATGTGATGTGAGACCTGAAGCTTTTTTTTTTTAATTAATTAGGCAACCGATAACAAAGGACACATTTAGACATTACAGAGTTCTAGGAAAAGGCGGATTTGGGGAGGTAAGTCATGCATGACTAACCATAAACAATGTTTCTAGAAAAGTAAGATAGCAAGGGAGTGAAAAGAGTGCCTCAACTTTACCAATACCTTTGTTTTCTTACTGTGTGTTTTGGGAATAATTTTAGCCAACCATGAGAGTTAAGATTAAACTTCAAACAGAAGATGCTTTGCTACATGCTTTAAAAAAATCAGAGATCTGGGGAAAAAAATGTGCTATCTTTGTGATTCTTTCTTTACTTCATGTTTCTTATAGAAGTTGTTTTTCTGTGTTCGACTGTCCGGTGTTCAAGCTCAGTCAGTTTGTCCTGATTGAAAAGATGATTCTGTTTCCATATTGTGGAATTTCTGCTACTCTATTTCTATAATCTAAGACTAGCCTAAAAGCTCACTGACTACAGAGTATATTATTAAATAGACTTATTTATGTCAATTCTGACATAAATTGGATGTGTATATGCGCCCCCACACCTACATCAAAAGATACCAGACAGTATGTAAATTTGGGGAAATTCTGAGGAAACTGTCCACAAATTCATGAAACATGGGGTAAATGGAATGGCCCTCCCAGACAGAGACTATTGTGGGAGGCAGACAAAGAATCGCGTGCAGTGCTGCTTAGGCAACTTGAAGAGGTGTTAACTGCCTCACTAGTTGTCTGGAGTGCTTATGTTCAGTTCCAGCGTTTATAATCCGCGGAACCGGGAAAGCCACAGGGGAGCGGCAGCTTTCCTCTCTGTCAGAAACAAGTCACTCTGCCCACTTGTGATTTAAATCATGCATGCTCCCGAATTCTAACTGAAAGCCTAAACCAAAGGCACCAGAGTTGACTTAACATAAATTAGGAAGCTGGCCTGGAGGCTTTGTGCTTGCTGCAAGTGAGACCTGTAACTGGGTGTGGTGAGAAACGCTCCCCGCAGCCACTCCGCCCGGGGAATGCACAGTACTGTCCCTTGGATACACTTCTGGAGGCTTTTAGAGTATTTCTTAACATTTTTTAAAATGTTTTGTTTATTTCTGAGAGAGACAGAGCGTGAGCAGGGGAGGGTCAGAGAGAGAGGGAGAGACAGAATCTGAAGCAGGCTCCAGGCTCTGAGCTGTCAGCACAGAGCCCGATGCGGGGCTCGAACCCATGAACTGTGAGATCATGACCTGAGCCGAAGTCGGATGCTTAACTGACTGAGCCACCCAGGTCCCCCTAGAGTATTTTGAATTATCTCAACCAAACGCTGTCTGTCATCCTTTCAGGACAGATATTTCTGTAAGAAATCCACCCTCTCTTTCCATACATCCTAGAGCAGGAAAATTATTTGCTGTCTTTAATTCATTCTATTCTGCCTGATCTCCAATAATAAAACTCAGGTTTTGCTGGAGAACAGAGAAAAAGACATTTCAAGCACATGGATTCTGTGTTTACAAAAGAATATAGTTCTAATTGTAGCCATGTGTACATTTAAAAATGGACTCAGTAATAACATGTTTGCAGATTTTAACTCTTGTGGAAGACTTGGTGTATTTATGATAGTTATAGGTTACTTTTTAACACATTTGCTTGTGTTTCCCAAGGAAAGATTGTAAGGGTGAATACAGTGTTGTGGTTTTTCACAGACTTGTTCTGAATGTGCTCTTCATTACATCAAGTCTGAGCAGGGAGTGAACATCTGTTTCTATTCTGAATACCTGTCTGAGGGAGCACTGTGACCCTAAAAAGCCTCAGTGCCTTTTTTTTTTTATTTGAGAGAGAGAAGGAGGAGGAAGAGGAGGAGGAGAAGGGGAAAGAGAAAGAGAAGGGCACAGGAAGAGAGGAAAGAACCCCGAGCTGATGTGGGGCTCCATCCCACGGCCCTAGGATCGTGACCTGAGCTGGAATCATGCAGGACACTCAGCCGACTGAGTCACCCAGATGCCCTGCCTCAGTACCTTTGAAATCCAGATTCCAATGGTGTATTTACTTTTTCCAAATGCTAATACCTCTTCCAGTGGGTTTGGAAGGACAAACACTTTGGTCTTATTTCGTCAACCTCAGTACTTTCATTTATGCTTGAAGTCCTCCAAGATGGCTTTGTAGGGTTCCGAGGCAGGGCCCGTGGAAAGAGAACTGGTAGAACCGTGCGTGTGCACGGCTGTAGAGACAGCAGAGAGCTGTGGAGACCGCGTGTCTGTAAGAGATGGGCAGACCGGGGGTGAGTTCCCGTTCCGTGGCTTCCAGCTGTGTGGATGGGGCCACGCTTCCTTCCGACCCTTGAAAGGGAGGTGATCCCTGCTCCTCTGGGTTGCTGTGAGCAGAGGCGTGTATTGGTATCCAGCCATAGTGCAGGGCCGGCACCCTTACCTCCTCTTCCTTCTCTTTCTTTGACTTGGCAGTTTCACTTAAAAGAATTGTCTTAAGTAAATGATGAAGAGATATGTGAAGATTTATGTGCCCAGTCTTAATGGTAGGAGAATGATTACGTAAAGTTTGGAGTATTCATACATTGGGAGAACATTTAATGATGAGAAAAGAGTCCCACTGTAAGAGGAAGACAGTATACAGTCTTACCTATTCTATAATATAAGATATTATATTATAGATTAAGATTATATATTAAGATATAATATAAGATAATATAAGCTGGTTCTCCTCGCCAAAACTGAGGAGAATTCAGGACCCTATACAGAAAATAGTAACTAATGGTAGTTATCTTGGAATTTCAATGAATTTTATCATTGTCGTTAGTAATACTGTATTTTCCACAATGAACTTTATATTTTATCATCAAAATCATTTTATTGATGGATTAAAATGATATGTCTTATATTTGCTTATAAGGTTATTGTGTTTGTGTGTAGTATGTACCTGTGTTACATGTGTGTGGGTGCATACGTGTCTACGGTGTGCAGCAGGTGTGTGTGGTGTGTGTACATGTGTATATGTATGTGTGTGGTTGTGGAGTGTGTATGGGATGCGGCTGTGTGGCTGTGGTATGGGGTGTGTGTGTCTGGTGTGGAGTGGGTGTGTATGTGGGGGGGGGGTGTCTGTAGTGTGGAGTGGGCATGTGTGCGATGTGTGTGTCTGTGGTGTGGAGTGGGCGGGTGTGTGGAGTATGTGTGTGTGTGTTTTGTGTGTGTATGTGTGTAGGGGTGTGTGTGTGGTATGTGTATGTCTGGTATGGTATGGGTGTGGTGTAGAGGGTGTGTGTGTGTGTGTGTGTGTGTGTGGCGGGGGAGTCTGAGGAAACAGGTGACCTTGAGCTGATAGCCCAGAAACTGGGGGTCGGGGACTTGGGAGCTCATTATTCCCTCCTCTCCATTTTTGTAATTTAGAAATTTTCTCATAATGTAAGGCTCAGCATATATTAGATATTATTTTAAGAACTAAGTGGAATAAATTATGAAAGGTTATGAATTCTATGAATTCTGTTTTATATTCTTGAACTTAAAAAAGATGAATGTATTTAGTTTCAGAAAGTGTTGGTCTTGCACGGAAACTGAGAAGAGCCAGGGAGACCCCCGAGTCAGGCGGCTGCGCGTCCCGCGCGAGGAGCGCCCCCTGGCGGCGGCCGGGCCCCGGGGGACCGGCCTCCCGCTCCCGCTCCCCGGCTCGCGTCCCCGGCAGCTGAGGGAGGAGGGAGCGGCCCGCTCCGCGCTCACGTCCGCGAGCCGAGCGGCCTCGGCCCGTCGCTTGCCCTGGGCCGGGGGTGGGGCGGGGGGTCGGAGAGGGCAGGGCTTGCTGGCGGCGGTGGCTGTCGCAGCCTGGAGGCGTCAGGTGCGGAGGAACCTTGCGTTTTCTTTTCATGAACTAGGTTTGTGCCTGTCAAGTGCGAGCCACAGGGAAAATGTACGCCTGTAAAAAGCTGGCGAAGAAAAGAATAAAGAGGAGGAAAGGTGAAGCAATGGCTCTAAACGAGAAGAGGATCCTGGAAAAAGTGAATAGTAGATTTGTAGTAAGTATCTTGGCTTGGTCTTCGCTGTGCGCAGTGTCCTGAGTCCCACCTTCCTGAGCCCACCTGCTGCCGGGTGTGCCTAACTCTCCAGCCCGGCTCGTCCCCGCTCCAGCCGGGCTCGCCTACTCCCCGCTCCAGCCGGGCTCGCCTACTCCACTCCAGCCCGGGCTCGCCTAGTCCCCGCTCCAGCCGGGCTCGCCTACTCCACTCCAGCCGGGCTCGCCTACTCTCCCCTCCAGCCCGGGCTCGCCTAGTCCCCGCTCCAGCCGGGCTCGCCTACTGTCCCCTCCAGCCCGGGCTCGCCTACTCCGCTCCAGCCGGGCTCGCCTACTCCCCGATCTGTCTTCGCTGTGCGCAGTGTCCTGAGTCCCACCTTCCTGAGCCCACCTGCTGCCGGGTGTGCCGAACTCTCCAGCCCGGCTCGTCCCCGCTCCAGCCGGGCTCGCCTAGTCCCCGCTCCAGCCGGGCTCGCCTACTCCACTCCAGCCGGGCTCGCCTACTCTCCCCTCCAGCCCGGGCTCGCCTAGTCCCCGCTCCAGCCGGGCTCGCCTACTGTCCCCTCCAGCCCGGGCTCGCCTACTCCGCTCCAGCCGGGCTCGCCTACTCCCCGCTCCAGCCGGGCTCGCCTACTGTCCCCTCCAGCCCGGGCTCGCCTACTCCGCTCCAGCCCGGGCTCGCCTACTCTCCAGCCCGGGCTCGCCTACTCCACTCCAGCCCGGGCTCGTCCACTCTCCAGCCCGGGCTCGTTCGCACTCCAGCCCGGGCTCGCCCACTCTCCAGCCAGGGTCTTGGGTGCTGCTGGGCGCAGTGCGTGTGGGGAACCCGGGGCGTGCCAGGGACAGCTTCCTTCGTCTTAGTGGCAGCCCTTTTCTTCCCAGTTCACGCCTTATTGGGCACAAACACAAAGCAGTGGGGGTCCCACTTCCAGCTTGTGACCTGCTGTGAATCGTAGCAGTCCACCCCTGCCCGGTCTGTGATTACCCTGCACCCCCAGCCGTGTGCTCTTAACCGGCGAGGGCCCTCCTCTCCCCACTGGGCGGCGAGCCTTACCCTCTGGCGCATTCCGCCACTCTGACTCCGACGCCCGAAGGCACTGCTCTGGTCCTTCTCTTCTCCAGGCCTCTTTCTGACGCCCGGCGAGTGTACTGCTGGCCCTCGATTAGCACATCCCAATTGTATGAAGCCTCAAACTCTACTTTCACTGTTTCAGGCAATGATTGGGCTTGTGGGGCTAGGGTGAACCTCCGGGCCCTTCCAGGCCCAAGGCTGTGCATGAGGTGTGTGGTTTCCATCGCCAAACCTGATTTCTTCACCCCATCGTGTATCTCACATAGCATGTACGCAACAGGAGGGTCTGCCTGAAGGGGGAGAGGGAAGGGTACTTTGTGAAAGAATTTGTAGTGTCACACTGACTTCGTCCACATCATTCATGTCTCAGTACTGAGGTTGGCTGTCTTGTGCTAGGGAACAAATGTCCCAAATCAGTGGCCTGCACAGCCATTGTCTACTTATCGCTGTGTATGATAGGTCACTCATGCATGCATTACACAAAAATCTTTAATAAAACCGGGTCATCTGAATTTCGTTAAATATATTTGTATAACTACCTTGAAGCGCAGAAATCCATAATCTAGCTTTATGAAAGTGACATAAGCAGTATGTCTATAGTTTATTCTGTTTAAATGAAATGCTTTGGTTTCTATATTCTTGGCCTCTCCCAAGGAACCTAGAAGTATTTTCCATCATCCTTTTCCCCCTAATTGAAGTATAATTGACATAATAATATCCTATTAGTTTCAAGTATACATCATAGCGATCTGATATTTTTCTACATTATGAAATGATTCTCATGATAAGGCTAGTTACCATTTATCACCATACAAAGTTATTACAAGTTATTAAAAAGCTACAAATACTGACTGTATTCCCTCTGCTGTACATGGCATCTCCTTGACTTGTTTACTCTGTAACTAGGAGTTAGCACCTCCGAGTCCCCGTCACATATTTCTGCCCCCAGCCCCTCCCTACTCTTTTTTTTTTCCTTTTCCTTTTTTTTTTTTTTTACAAATAGTTTATTGTCAAATTAGTTTCCACATAACACTCAGTGCTCATCCCCACAAGTGACCTCCTCCATGCCCATCCCCCCTCCCCCCCACATCCATCAGTCCTCAGTTTTTGTTTTTGTCAGCATTCAAGAGTCTCTCATGGTTTGCCTCTCTCCCTTTCCCCCACCATTTCCGCCCTTCTTCTCCCCCTTGTTCCTCCGTCAAGTTCCTCCTAATCCTCCTATATGTGCAAACATATGATATTTGTCCTTCTCTGCCTGACTTATTTCGCTCAGCATAACACCCTCAAGGGCCATCCATGTTGCTACACATGGCCAGATTTCATTGTTTCTCATTGCCATGTAGTATTCCATGGTATAGATAAACCACATCTTCTTGATCCATTCATCTGTGGATGGACACTTAGGCTCTTTCCATGTTTTAGCTATTGTGGAGAGTGCTGCTATGAACATTGGGGTACATGGGCCCCTATGCCTCAGCACTCCTGTATCCCTTGGGTAAATTCCTAGCAGTGCTATTGCTGGGTCATAGGGGAGTTCTAGTGTTAGTTTCCTGAGGAACCTCCACACTGTTTTCCAGAGGCAGCCCCTCCCTACTCTTGTAACAACAGTTTGTTCTTAGTGTCAGAGTCTGCTTCTGTTTGGTTTTGTTTGTGAGTTGGTTTTGCTTTTTAGATTCCACACATGAGTGAGCCCAGGTGGTGTTTGTCTTTCTCTGATTTGTGTTGCTTAACAGTGTGCTCTCCAGGCCCATCCACGTTGCTACAAATGGCAAGGTTCTGTTCTTTCTGGTGGCTGGGCAATATTCTATTGTGTACACACACCGCGCCTTTACCTGCTCATCATTTATCCGTGGATGCAGAGGTTGCTTCCATGTCTTGTCTATTGTCAATAATGTCAGATAAGGGTGCAGATAGCTCTTTGGATTGCTGTTTTCGTTTTCTTCAATTCCGCCTAGAAATGGAGTTGCTGGGTCACATGGCATTTCTATTCTTAATTTTTGGAGGAACCTCCACACTGTTTTCCACAGTGGCCCCACCAACTTACATTTCCGACAACAGTTGTACAAGGGTACCTTTTTCTGCACATCTTCACCAACACGTGTTTCTTGTCTTTTTGATTCTAGCCATTCTGGTAGGTGTGAAGTGCTGTCGTGGTGGTTTTGATGTCCCTTTCCCTGATGGGTAGTAGTGATGAGTGTCCTTTTATGTGCCTGTCAGCCATCTGTATGTCTTCTTTGGGAAAATATCTGTTTGGAGTTGGGGTGCCTGGGTGGCTCAATCACTTAGGCACCTGACTCTTGGTCACAATCTTATGGTTTCATGAGTTTGAGCCCCGCATCAGGCTCTGCACTGGCAGTTCAGAGACTACTTGGGATTCTCTCTCCTCCTCCCTCTCTCTTTGTCTCTCCCCTGCTCACTCTGTCTCTGCCTCTCTCAAAATAAATAAAAACCCCAAGAAAAACATCTGTTCAAGTTCTCTGCCCATTTTTCATCATGTTATTTTTAAATATTAATTTGTGTAATTAAAAAAATATATTTTAATATCATCTCTTTACCTGATATTTGCAAATATCTTCCATTCAGTAGGTTGCCTTTTTGTTTTGTTGATGGTTTCCTTCACTGTGCAAAAGCTTTTTAGTTTACTGTAATCCCGTTTTTATTTTAGCTTTTGTTACTCAGGAGACTGGTCTGAAAAAACATTGCTAAGACTGATGCCAAAGAGCTTACCTCCTGTCATTTCTTCTATGAGTTCTATGGTTTGGTTCTTATATTCAAGTCTTTAATCCATTTTTAAGCATTTTATTTTTTTAATGTTTATATTTTTGAGAGAGAGAGGAAGAGAGAGAGAGACAGAAGGCCTATGCATGTGAGCAGTGGAAGGGAAGAGAGAGAATCCCAAGCAGGGTCCATGCTGTCAGCGCATGGGTGGGCCTCAATCCCATGAACTGTGAGATTATGACCTGAGCCAAAATCAAGAGCTGGACACTTAACCGACTGAGTCACCCAGGCACCCCTCAAGTCTTTAATTCATTTTGAGTTAATTTTTGTGTATGGTAAAATGTAGTGACCAGCTTCATTCTTCTGCATGTAGCCTGTACGGTTTTTCCCACACTATTTATTGAACCAGGCTGTCTTTTCCTCATTGTGTATTCTTGCCTCCTTTGTCAAAAATTAATTGACCATATATGCTTTGTTTATTTCTGGGCTCTCTGTTCTATTCCACTGAACTATGTGTCTGTTTTTATGCCAATGCCATACTTTTTTGATTACTACAGTTTTGTAATATAGTTTGAAATCAGGGAGCCTGATGCCTCCAGCTTTGCTCTTCTTTCTCAAGATTGCTTTGGCTTTTCAGAGTCTTGTGTTGTTTCATACAAATTTTAGGATTATTCTGGTTCTGTGAAAAGAGCTATTGGTATTTTTAAAATGTCTATTTTGAGAGAGAGAGAGTGAGAGAGAGCAAGTGAATGTATGAGCTGGAGAGTGCACTGCACTGTCAGTGCAGAGCCCAACATGGAGCTCAGTCTCATGAACCATAAAATCATGACCTGAGCCAAGATCAAGAGTCGGATGCTTAATCAACTGAGCCACACAAGTGCCCCAGAGCTATTGGTATTTTGATAGGGATTGCATTGAATCTGTAGATTGTTTTGGGTACTATAGACATTTGAACAATATTAATTCTTCTCATCCATGAGGATAGAATATCTTTCCATTTATTTGTGTCTTCATTTTGTTTCATCAATGCCTTATAGTTTTGAGAGTACAGGTTTTTCACCTCCTTGGTTAAATTTATTCCTAGGTATTTTATTCTTTTGATAAAATTGTAAATGGGATTTTTTTTCTTAATTTCTACTTCTGATAGCTTGTTATTAGTGTATAGAAACAAAACCTGTTTCTGTATGTTAATTTTGTACTCTGTGATGTTACTGATATCATTGATCAGATCTAATAGCTTCTTGGTGAAGTCTTTAAGGTTTTCTATATATACTATCATGTCATCTGCAAATAGTGACAGTTTTACTTCTTCCAGTTTGAGTGCCTTTTATTTCTTTTTCTTGCCTAACTGCTATGGCTAAGACCTCCAGGACTATGTTGAATAAAAGTGATAAGAGTGGGCATATCTATCTTGTTCCTGATCTTAGAGGAAAAGCTTTCAGCTTTCAGCTTTTTACCATTGAGTATAGTGTTAGCTGTGGGTTTGTCATATATGGCCCTTATTATATTAAGGTATGTTCCTTCTATACCCACTTTATTGAGAGTTTTAAAAATCATAAATAGATACTGAATTTATCAGATGCTTTTTCTGCATCTGTTGAGATTATCATAATATTTATCCTTCATTTTGTTACTGTGGTGTATCACCTTGATGTGTTTGTGAATTTTGAGTCATCCTTTCATCCCTGGAATAAATCCCACTTGATTGTGGTGTATGATCCTTTTAATGTATTATTGAATTGGGTTTAGTAATATTTAGTTGAATATTTTTACATCTATGTTCATCAGGGTTATTGGCCTGTGATTTTCTTTTTCTTTTCTTCCTTCCTTCCTTTCTTTTTTTTCTTTGTAATGTTTTTATCTGGTTTCAGCATCAGGGTGATTATGGCCTTGTAAAATGAATTTGAAAGTCTTCAGTCCTCTTCAATTTTTGGAAAAAATTGAGAAGGATAGGTACTAACTCTTCTTTAAATGTTTGGTAGAATTCACCTGTGAGGCCATGTGATCCTGGACTTTTGTTTTTTAGTTTTTAAATTACTGCTTCAATTTCATTTCTTGTAATTGGTTTGTTCATATTTTCTATTTTCGTGTGATTCAGTCCTGAAAGGTTGGATTTCTGGGAACTTATCCATTTTTTCTAGGCTGCCCAATACACTGGTGTGTAATTGTTCATACTAATCTTTTATGAGTCTTTGTATTTCTGTGGTGTCAATTATAACTTCTCTTTCATTTCTGAGTTTAAAAAATTAATATATTTGTTAATTACTGATGAATTTGGCTAAAAGTTTATTGGTTTTATTTATTTTTTCAAGAACCAGGTTTTAGTTTCATTGATCTTTTCTATTTTTTAACTCTCTATTTCATTTATTTCTACTTTGATCCTTACTATTTTCTTTCTTCTACCAACTTTGAGCTTTGTTCTTTTTCTAGTTCCTTTAGATATAAAGTGACATTGTTTATTTGTTTTTGTTTTTTGGGTTTTTTTGTCTCTTGGAGCAGACCTGTGTTCTATGAATTTCTTTCCTAGAGCTGCTTTTTCTGCACCCCATAGATTTTGGAAAGTTGTATTTCCACTTCCATTTGTCTCAAGGTAGGTTTTTCTTTTTATTTCTTCTTTGAGTTTTCCTTCATCCTTGATTCTATTTTTCCCTTCCTGCTTACAGTTGATCAGTGGAACCTGACCTGTACCTGTGTCTCACTCATTTCCTCCTGCTTCCCACTCCCCACCCTGCCTGGCCCACAAAACGATTATGTGTGTTGACAGTCTAACACTTTCTATATAACTTATTGTGCATCTAGCCAAATTATTAGATACAATACCAACCACAAATAGAAAATAAAAAAGCTATTTGATACCATTTACAATAGCATCAAGAAATATCAAACTCTAGGCAAAATTTAGTGAACATATGCAAGACTTCTCAACTGAGAGCTAAAAATGCTATTAAAAGAAATTAAAGAAGACCAAATAGTGGAGAGATACCATGTTCATGGATCATAACATTCATATGAGTCAACATATAAAGATATTGGTTCTCTCAAATCGATAGGTTAAGTGAATTAAATGCAGTTCCAATCAGAGTCCCAGCAGTGTGTGTGTTTGTGTGTGTGTGTGTGTGTGTGTGTGTGAATCTACATACCAACAGAGAGGTGGGCAAAAAACTTGGACAGGTACTTTCTACAAGAGGTTCTAAATGGATAAGTATATGAAAAACTATGAGAAGTGTCTCCTGTATTTGTATATACAGAGAAATGCACATTAAAACCACAATAAGACACAACTGCCTCCACCCACATTGACTGAGAACACAAGATGTTGGGGGGAGGTGCAGCAGTAAGACCCTTCTTGAACTACTGTGGAGGGGTGTCTTTAATTCATATGCTAAACGTGGGTGTTCTAGAAGTAAGGACTATCAGTGCTCAATGATTACAGCATAGCTCTGATGAATCATGCTCCCAAGTGTCTTTGTGAAGTGTTGCCACCTACCCATGTAGCTATAGAAGGTTCTCGCCTCTCAGTACAGAACTGTTGTCAGATCTTTGATAGGTACATGCCTGAGGAGCACGATGCATGATGGGCATTTTCCTGAAGCATATCATATTTGGGTATTCTAATTATGCATCTGACATGGATTGTTTGAATAATGTTAGCAAATAGAGTAAATCAATGAATGAGCAGGTTTTTGTGCTTTATTTTTTATGTTGCTGTTGTCTTTAGGTTAGTTTGGCTTACACTTATGAGACCAAAGACTCCTTATACTTGGTGCTGACCATTATGAATGGAGGGGACTTGAAGTATCACATTTACAACCTGGGCAGGCCTGGCTTTGATGAGCAGAGAGCTATCTTCTATGCGGCTGAACTGTGCTGTGGCTTGCAGGACTTGCAGAAGGAAAGAATTGTGTACAGGTAAGAACAGCATGAACTCCCGGGCCTGGGAGCCTGGGGCTCCCACCTGGCTCCTGCTGACCACTCACGAGCCTGGGCCAGAGGTCTGTGCAGCGCCTTGGTGGCCATTTGTTGGGCTGGTCACTCACACTGTTGGGAATGTGGTCAACCGGCGGGGGACCTTTTTAGTTCTCTTTGATTTCTAGTAGGTTGGTTTTATTTGTTAAGCTGATGAAATGTAGGCAGTGTTACTCCCGTAAGAAGAGCCATTTCCCAGATTCCTAGGCATCTTGGCAGCTCTATTTAAGATTGTGGACTTTGTTCCAACAAAATAGTGTTACAATTAAATGCATCAAAGTATTCATATTGATTAATATCTTGTGTCTTAGAATTCAGTAAAGAAAATTAATTTGATAGGTAGAATTAAATCAGTATGACCGAATATCTAGTTTGAAGGAAAGCAGTCCTTCCTCCCACCCTTTAGGTGTGAAGCTCGTGGGCTCTGACACCCTTCTCTACCCCTCCCTGCACAGCCCATCCCTTTGCCACCACCTCCATGTGCCCTTTTCCTGAAATTCCCAAGGGGTCTGTGTATCCCCTGCCTTCATCTTCCTCATCCAGGTGGTCATGAAATTACCCCTAAATGTTTCCCAGATCATTCTTTAGGGTCACTGGCTTAGTTTGTGTCTTCCTTAGGTTACCCGGCAGGCAGACCCCTGGGATAGTCTCCCTAATGCCAGTCTTGCCATGGTCCCTCCCCCGTGAGACCAGCGACAGGCCATCCTGTGATATGGATCTGACCCTGTCATGCTGACCCTAGCTTGGAGCCCCGTGGGCCCGGCTCCCCTGACCCTGTGCGATGCCGCTCCCTGCCGCTCCCCGAATGGGGACTCCCTACATGTTTGCAGTTCCCAGAACTTCAGGCGTCCTCAGGTCTTTACACCTTTTAACATGTGGTTTGCTTGTTGGATGCCTTTCTTCACTGCGGCCCCTCTTCCTTCACTCTGAGAAGCTGCGGCCCATCATCCCAGAGTTAGTACGGCAGCGTCCCCTCCCCCTGCCCCTGATAACGTGGTGCACGCTCCCCATTCGGCGTCACACCACCTGTGCTGTCCTGCTGGACGGCTGGTCACACTGGCCGCTGGCCATAACTGCTCAGCAGGCCTCTATCCAATCCCTGTTGCCACAAACTCTTGGCTTTGTCTTACGTGTCCTGGAGCCACACTGTTATCTCTCGAGCACCAGCCACCAGGCCTGGCCGCGGGGCGGATGCAGCCCACCTTGTGTTGTTGAGCAGGGGTGGGGTGCTGCTGCGGGAGCGATTCCTACACAGGCAGGTCACTGAGTGGAGAGAGCCTTGTCACCACACTCACGGGGAGAGGCCGGTGGCTCTTAAAGCGGGGAACTGGCCTGTAAGAGCTTTGATTCCTCTTTTACTGCAGGAGGACCTTATGGCTTATCACAGTTAGGCCCGTGGAGCTGCGCCGCTTGCCTCTGGGGTGGTGACGCGCAGGCGCCTGGTTTTGTGGTGCTTCGCTTCTCTGGGCCTCACACACTGCCTTTGTAGCGAGCGCAGGCTGGTAGCAACCTGTGCTGGGCAAGACCTGTCGATGCCACTGTCCAGCAGCATCTGCTGCCTTCATGTCTCTGTGTCACCTTTTGGTCGTTCTCACATGTTTTCTCACATTAATTCTCAACTTACATTGGCAACTTCAAACAGTTTCATTAGTGTGTTTGTCACGGTGATGTGTGCTCAGTGATCTTCCATGTCACTTCTGTACTTGTCTGGGGCTCCACGAGCCACACTCATAAATGGGAAACTTAATACGTGTTGTGTGTATTCTGAATGCTCCCCTGAGCAGCCACTCCCCCATGTCCCTCTCCTCAGGCCTCCCCATTCCCCGGACACAGCAATACTGAGATCAGGCCAAGTAACAACCAGCCCTGCAGTGGCCTCTAAGTGTTCAAGTGAAAGGAAGGGTCCCACATCTCTCACGTGAAATCGAAAGCTAGACGTGGGTAAGCTGAGTGAGGGAGGGATGTCTAAAGCCAAGGCAGGCTGAAAGGTAGGCCTCTTGTACCAAACAGCCGAGGTGCAAATGCAGAGGAAAAGTTCCTGAAGGAAATAAGTGCTGCTCCAGTGAGCACATGAATGATAAGAAAGGGAAATGGCCTAACTGCTGATAGGGAGAAAATTTTAGTGGTCTGTTTTGGTTTTTTGTTGTTTTCAAAAAATTTTTTTAAATGTTTATTTATTTTTTGAGAGAGAGACAGAGTACAAGCAGGGGAGGGGCAGAGAGAGGCGACACAGAATCTGAAGCAGGCTCTGAGAAGTCAGGACAGAGCCCAGTGTGGGGCTTGAACTCATGAATGGTGTGATCATGACCTGAGCTGAAGTCAGATGCCTAACCGACTGAGCCACCCAGGTGCCCCTGGTGCTCTGGATAGAAGATCACACCAGCCACATATACCCTTAAGCCAAAGCCTCTTCCATAGCAAGGCCCTGACTCTCTTCAATTCCATGGAGGCTGGGGGAGGGGAGCAAGCTGCAGAAGAAACGAAGCTTGCAGAAGTTGGTTCATGAGATTTAAGGAAAGACGCCGTCTCCGTAACACAAAAGTGCAAAGTGAGGCAGCAAGTGCTGGTGTAGAAGCTGCAGCAAGTTCTCCGGAAGATCCAGCTAGGATAATTCATGAAGGAGGCCACACTGAACAGCAGATTTTCAGTGTAGACGAAACAGCCCTGATTTGGGAGAAGATGCCATCTAGGACGGTCATAGCTAGAGAGGAGAAGTCAGGGCCTGGCTCCAGAGTCTGAAGGGACAAGCTGATTGCCTTGTTAGGGGCTAATGCAGCCGGTGACTTGAAGTTGGAGCCAGTGCTCATTACCGTTCCGAAAATCCTCGGGCTCCGAAGACTGTGCTACATCTACTCTGCCTGTGCTTTACAGATGGAACAGCAAAGCCTGGATGACTGTGCATCTGTTTCTGACGTGGGTCACTTAATAATTTAAGTGCCCTGTTGAGACCTCCTGCTTAGAAAAAGGGTTCCTTTCAAACTATTACTGCTCATTTACGTTGTACCAGATCACCCGAGAGCTCTGATGAGGTACAGCCAGATTAATGTTGTTTTCATGCCCGCTGATACAGCATCCATTCTGCAGCCCACGGAGCAGAGTAATTTTGACTTTGAAGTCTTCTTATCTGAGAAACACATTTCATAAGGCTGTAGACGCCCTAAATAGTGATTCCTCTGATGGATCTGGGCAGAGTAAATTGAAAATCTTCCGGAAATGATTCACCATTCTGGATGCCATTATGAAAACGTTCCTTCCCGTGGCTCAGAGGAAGAGGTCAACATATCAATATCAACAAGAGTTTGGGAGAAGTGGGTTCCAGCCCTCATGGAGGCCTTTGAGGGGCTCAAGACTCAGTGGAGGAAGTCACTGCAGGTGGAAATAGCAAGAGAACGATGATCAGGGGCTGAATTTCTGCGATCTCATGATAAAACTCGAGTGGATGAGGGGTGCTTCTTACGGAGGAGCAAAGAAAGTGGTTTCTTGAGGCAGATGCTGCTCCTGGTGAAGATGCCGGGAAGGTGGTTGGAATGACAGCAAGGATTTAGAATGTGGCATAAACTTTGTTGGTAAGAGCGGCGGGTTTGAAGGGATCTGACTCTAATTGTGAAAGAAGTTGCGCTGTGGGTAGAATGCTGTCAGCATCACGTGCTACAGAGAGAGCATTTGGGAAAGGAAGAGTCAGAAGATTCATTCTCTTGTTTTAAGAAACTGCCACAGACACCTCAGCCTCCAGCAACCAACACCCTGATCAGTCAGCAGCAGTCTGCATCGAGGCGAGACCCTCCGCCAGCAAAAGGATTACAGCGTGCCGAAAGCTCACATGATGGTTAGCAATAAAGTATTTTTTTTTTTTTTTTATGTTTATTTTTGAGAGCGAGAGAGACCATGAGCAGGGGAGGAGCAGGGAGAGAGGGAGACACAGAAGCTGAAGCAGCTCCAGGCTCTGAGCTGTCAGAACAGAGCCCGACGCGGGGCTTGAACCCACAAACCCTGAGATCATGACCTGAGCTGAAGTCGGATGCTTAATCGACTGAGCCAACCAGGTGCCCCAAAGTATTTTTTAAATTAAGGGATTCATTGTTTTTTTTTTAGACAACGCTATTACACACTTAATAGATTACAGTACAGTGTACACATAACCGTTCTGTGCACTGGAAAATCAAAACATTCATTTGACTTGTTTTATTGTGACAGTCCCCTGACTGTGGCGGTCTGGGGCCAAACCGCGGTATCTCTGAGGTGTGTCTGTGCTACTGGATTGGCTACATTTTCATTTCCCCCAGCCTTTCACCTCAGGCTTCCCCTTGTCCTCCGACAGAGCGGGCGAAGGGCGTGGGTTGGCCCGCACTTAGCGGGACCCGGACTAGCTGCCTCCTCCACTGCTGTGTCCACAGCACCTGCCAACGGGAGGCGCCACTAAGTGTTTGTTGAATGAGTGAGTGATGGCGTTCAGCCTCTGCTGTACCCCGTCCTCTTTTAAGCCAAGGGCCTGTAAAGCACTGCTTGCATTCTTCAGAAGAAAGGTTTTTGTGGCCTACTTCTTGTGGTCAGAGATTGCCTCTTGACAGCCTTGATCAGATCAGGTGCCAGAGAGATGGCCTTCCTTTTCGCAGAGGGACAGTACAGAACTGAGAGCCCGGGGCCACCTCGCCCTCCTCCGCAGGAGCTGCCCTGAGGGTGCCGGGCCCTGATGCTGCAGCCCTGGTGAGTGGGTCAGCCTAACGGACTCCAGGAATTCTCTCTGCCAGAAGTGCTTTAAATCAGGGAGGGCTTCCCAGAGGAGCTGGGACTCACGAGGCAGCTGGGGTAGATGGCCTAGATCTGAGCAGAAGGAGAAGGGGTCGTTCTTCAGGGGAGACACGCGTTGTGTTTGCATCCGGAGAGCGTGGGCAGTGGAGCCCTTGGAGACCAGAGCGGTCCTCAGACAGGCGCAGGGGGGAGGC